GATGAATAGGATGACGGGGAGGGGGCGGCGTAGGAGATGAATAGGATGATGGGGAGGGGTGGAGTAAAAGATGGATAGGATGATGGGAGGGGGTGGAGTAGGATATGGATGGAAAGATAAGGTGTATGTGGGATTGGAGACAGATGAGACTAGGGGTGGAGTCAAAGTAGACATGGTAGATATGGGATGATGGGATATAGATGATGGGGGTAGAATTGTAGAGGATAGGATGGTGGGGTTGGATACAAAGTGCAAAACTGTACTTTAGAGGCATTATGCACCATCCATCAAACTCACAAATGCACTGCTTATATAATCATCCAGGTCTAGTCTGACTGTACCAACCTACATTTTATAGGCATTCCTCTCTCCTGTAAAGAACTGATAAGCCTTTGTACCTGTATCTCTGGTGTTGGTGGTCTTACATGTAGTTGATTTACTTTTAACACTGCTTGTGTGCTCATAAAAAGAACTACAAATTATTTTGGAGGCATTGTTTGGCACAGAAAAGCTTTAGCTATATTAGACCCTGCATTTCGTTCTTAAAAAAGATTACTGAATTTGTGAGGTTTCACGCAATAATCCTGAAAAATACAAGATTTTTCAACCCCCCGACCCCTCACCATTTCCAGAGGTCTTTGACTATTCCACCAGCCAGGTTTGAGGTCTCAGTTGAAATAAACATACATGTACAATAGACTTTTCTTTGAAATTCTGGCTTATGACTGCAGGTACATGTACTACTCTCAGCTATTGATCTCTAAGACTATGGTACATGTACATGTACACGAAAAGGCACACACCCAACTTGGAGAAAAGATGAACCACTCAGAAGTTTGGTACATGTAGGATGACCATGGGGAGAATATACGGGGGGGAGGGGGATATGTAGAGGTGAAGAGTCAACGTACACTGTACCAAATGTTCCTCTTGACACTTCTGTTGAACCAAATCTCCCAAGGCTTGGAAGAGTTTTGGTTTAGAGAACGCTGAGCAACTTTTTTTCATATGTATGTACCGGTAAATACCATACATTTAAACCCAGCCCCTTGGGTGTATGTAAAATCATGTTGAAATCAGAAGATTTGGAACTGAATAGGTCTGTAGTTTATTGTATTCTCCTGGTTTGCATATTTGACCCTCTCCACCCATTCTTTTTTACTGTGACACTTTTAAACTCTTCAATAGTTTTGCCTCACACAAAACAAAACTAGAACGGCAAAGCCGCCATGGCTCGCTGCTTGTTATGAATTTGAGATGGATAAGATGGATATCCACTAAGAGACATATGATACATGTGTACAAATATGGTTACTAAATTAAACAAGAAAATACTCACCAAGCTTCATCAAAATATTTTACAAGATTGGTTGACGTACGACTGCAATACAGATGTACAAGATATTTTATCGACCTTAGCAATAAAATTCATTGTACTCCAAGAGAAAAATCCTAGTCGGTGCTATGTGCAGACTGCGTATTGAAAGGCGCCTGTCGTTTAGTATCTAGCCATTGTACTAGTCAGGTACTTTTTGCATCAGACACGTGTGTTCATGTATACATTTGTATAGGTATAGTACAGTACTGGTGTATGCAAACATGTACATGTATGTGTACTGTACCTGTATGTTACGTGCTTAATTATTAAAGTCTTGTTACAATTTAAAACATGTACAGAGATGTCCAAAAGTCACTCTTGTGGCAGAATTTTATGGGTTAAATCTGCAGTTTTTGCAGATTTGCTGAAGAGGGTTTTTTTTGTCTTGGCTGTTAAGTTTCAAATTTGTGTCTGTTTATTGTACATGAATGGTAATAGAATGCAATGTTTGTGTACATTATAATCTAATGTACCGCTATTTTATGACATATGTAGAAAACACATGCACGTATCATGCATTTACAGTACATTTCTATTCTGCAGGTTTACTTAACTGGCACTCTATCCAAATAAGCCATTCCTCAATTCAGCCACTTGCCCTCTATGAGTGGTTCAGTGTCAAGTGAAATGAATCTGCTTTTCATAGTAGCCGGCTGATCTTCTCATCCGTGTAGATGTACATGTTGCACCTGCTGTGGCTGAGAGGAAGGACACAAGCTATTATTCAGGCTTTAATTGCAGACCATACAGATCAGTGCATGCAGGGTATGGTATGGTGTTGACTCGAGTGGTTACCAAATGCAACATTTCAGGCTGATACTACATGTAGATGTAAGCAAAAAAACATTACCAGCCTAAAATTTAGCCTTTGAATAAAAAAAATCCAAGTGTTCAGCCTCAGTGATACAGTGAATGAATAATGATATTGATACAGTGAAGCAAAACTTCATTTACATGTACATGTACCTTGTCCTTGGTCAAGTTGGTGGTTTTAAGTCAACAACTGCCCCTCTGTACATCATGTACATGTACATGTATGTACATAGTACATGTACTGAGCTTAGGCCCGCGGGGTATAAAGTACTCACGCGTTTACACGTACATGTAGATTGTAAATTATGGAAAATCTACCTGTGGGCCCTGTATTTGTGATACCTGTACAGTGTACATGTGTGTTGGGTGCAATGGATTGATCTGCCTGATTGCTCGATCTTGCTGAACATAATAATTTTATTTTCAGATGAAAGAAGCTTGTTTCAAAAAGGTACATGTAAGCAAAGTGAGAGATTTCACACAAGACTGACTGATAACACAACGTGATCATGCGAATTAACCGATGTCTCCCAACACATCCACGTGCAGTGGGCACTTGGGCCAAGAAACGAAATGTGTAGAACTTGGTTGAATGTACAGATCACTTGGCATTTCACTCTTGGTGATAGCGCTCATGTGCATGTACAGACCTCTGGCACATTTGCACATATACATGTTGTTTGTATCATACGTACATACAGTACATGTACGTGTACATGTGTGTCAGTCTTTGATATAGTGTAAGATTTTTAAACTTTGATGTCATCAGATACTGGTTACATGTACATGTACGTGCACGTACATGTCCAACTTGTTAGGTGCACAGCTACGATACACTGTAGCAACGCTTTTTAAGATGGAATATACATATATCCCACAGTACACAGTTTTTCATATATTTTTGATCCTGTGTACATGTGAAATAAAAGTTTGATTTACATGTAAATGCAAATTTATATTGTATTTATCAAGTTGGTCAACATTAGAATTTGAAATCACAAATGTGCAAACATCAGAAACTGAACTGCAAATTTTCTGTATTTGTGAATCCAAATTTTTTTGTTGATCTATGCATTTACTTGTACATGTTGAATGATCACGTGACTACGCATGTCATCTTCCGGGGTGTTGATGTCCATGTAACCAGCTAATTAGTAGTCATGCTGGTATCACATCCTGCGAGAAGCCAAGCATACTGTATGAACAGCTTTATGGCTAATCAGTCATGTCCCGATACGGTACTTGTCCTGACATCTTGAAAAGCAGTCGCTGAGCCTTTGTTTT